TATTTAGTATTCCATTTTATATATTTAGTATTCCATTTTATATATTTAGTATTCCATTTTATATATTTAGTATTCCATTTTACAGAGCAAACTATAGCAAAAGATGAGACGGGGTATGCATTCAATTTTTTTTTTAATATACTAACTTGTGAAGCTGAATTAAATAACCAAATCTTCAGACCTATGAGCCCTTGGGTACAGAATACATCAGAAACAAGCAACAAAGCACTGTCCTTGCACCAGGGAATGTCCTTTAAGGGTGAAGTGTGGGAGCACTGGGACATTCAGATCTGCCTTCTGTAGCTGTGCCCTGTATCGTGTGTAGCAGCAGAAGAACGAGTCTTTGTTGCTACAGCCCTTTTGTGAGAAGGGAATTCAGTGCCACCAAAGAACGCCACTGAGCGCTGGGCTGTGCAGATGGGGTTTGTTTTCCGGCTGGGCAGCCCCGGGAGCGCTCGACCGCCTTGGGAAACTTTCCCCGTCACGTAGGGGCGGCAGGAGCGCGAGCTGGAGCTCTGCGGCACGGCTGCCACTGCTCTAGTTCTCATCTTCGGCAATAACACACCGTTTTTGCACAAATGTTAAATATATGTTTCAGAATTACGCTCCTGAGGTTTTGTTTTCACCTGGGGCTGAGATGGAGAGGAGTATCTCTTAGCTGGTCACTGGGCGAGAGAAGACGGCGCTTTTCCTTCCGTTCTTCCCTGCGTAGGGTTGGTTGTGGAGCCAGAACCCACATTACACACCTGGATTCCGCAGGAACATGAAGCTTGTAGCTTCATTTGCCATTAGCTCTTTCTTTTCGAAGCCCTTCTTACCTTCGGCAGGTGACCTGAAGGAGAACAAGCCGTTTGTAAGTGTTCCAGCACCACTCCACCATAACGTGTGCAAAGGGCTTTAGGCACTGAGTATTGCTGGAATATGTTCTTTTACAAGGGGAAAACTGAAGACTTAGGAATTACTTGCTTTAAAAAAAAAAAAAAAAAAAAAAAAAACATAAAAGCAAACCCAAAAAAAAGCAGTAAAATGAATTCTACATATATTGTATTTTATCTGGAAGCTCCTGCCAAGAGTGCCAGTCCTCCAATTAGATGGCAGGGTAAGTGTTTGCCCAGTGTGGTTGCTTGGATGTGCGCTACCGGCTGCAGAGCTCGGCTGCTCAGAGCTGAGCCTTTCCTTTCCAGAAGACATCCCGTTATTTAGGATGGTTCCTTCTGTGTAACCAACATAGCAAGGCTCAGTCATTCTCCAGGAAATAAATGCTGCATTCGCGGGGCTTAGGAAGAAAGGTCAAACCTTGGGCTGTCTGATGCTGGGCAGTGCTTGACTTTGAGTGCAGCTTGTCTGGAAAGAGTCAAGTTACCGCTGTTTTCTATATAACACTCAGCTGCCACCCTGACTGCAGCTGGGGGGGAAGATGTGGTCGTTCACCCTGTGTAGTGCCTGAATTTGGGCTCGTGGGCTCGTTAATTAGATGGGGTCGGAGATGCAGGCTCTCTGTTGTTGCTTCTGGAAACCCAGGATATTAAACCCTGATTTGTACCTTTCAGGCTGCAGCGGTGAAAAAAGAAGTGAAGAAGGAGGAGCCAGGCGAAGGAAGGTAAGCCCTTTGGGTAATGGAGTTTAGCTGTGTGTGCTGTCTGTGGGACTGTCTGTCCGGGCGGCTGACACGTCTCTCCGGGCAGTGCCTGTGTGCAGGGAGACCTGCTGCCAGGAGCACCTTCTGGTACACGCTGCCCATTCCCTTGGTCTCTGTGTGTGAGGGACGTCCCGTGCGTTGACATTGGTGTGTGCCGAGACCTGCGGGGCCTAAAAGAACGTGGGGAAATGGGGACAAAGTCTGTTCTCTCTGTAGTTCCTTAATCTATTTTAGTGATTTTGGTCAGGGTTTGCCGCAGGTCCTGGAAGGTTTGTTTGGATGTGCACGGTTGGTAAGAATCTTTTCTTGTTATTGCACTTCACCAGGAATTATCACTTCATCTTGCAGCCCTCTCCTCTTCAGGGCGCCTGGCACTAAGGTGTCTGTTCCCAAATGCTAAAAATAAAGGGGAGCTTCCCTGTTTAAGCTGTAGCATTCGCTTAATGCTGTGATACAGGTTCCTAAATCAATTTAGATTTAGGAGCAAACATTTAGACTTTACTATAACATCATAACCTAGAAATGGGAAATGCTGATTTTTGATATGAGTCATTAAAAAAGTGCTTTGCAGGCTCTTCCTTGTAGCAAAATTTCTAATCGTGGAGTAACTATTTGTTGGTTCTAGAGCCTCAATTATGGTTTGGAAATCCTTTGTAAGAGGATGGGTTGCCACAGCAGTTCTTGCTAATAAAAACAACTTGAAGCAGCTTCCACGACTCCAATTCCTATTTCCACATAAGTTTTGGGCCCCCAGAAACAGTGATCTTGATTTTCAATTTAAGGTAATGTCATTATGCTGTCCTGGACTGTTAAAGCCTTTTGAAAACCTGTTTCTTTGCAAAATAAAGTTAGATACTGCCTATTTGCCCCAAATGTGCATGTTCTAAATTAGCCGGGGTGCCAGCCTGGGGGAGCCCTGGCTTGTGCTCAGCGCAGTGCAAATGGACAAACTGACATTCTTCCATAGAAATAATGATGCCCAGACCTCCTTTGAGGCACTCTCATTTATGAAAATACCTTTTCTTTCTTCTCAAGGATGCCATATTTTGGATTGCTTTTTTGTTTGGTTCCTTTTTGGTTCAATTCTTTCCTAGCAAAAATAGCCAAAACTTTTCTTTGCCCCATTGAGACTCAAAGGCTGCCCTGCTTGAATCTGAATTCCTGTGTAAAATAAGAGCATGGTTTCTGTTCTGACACAGTCCGTTCCCTGTAGCGGCGTGTCTAGAGCCGAACCTCAGGCTCGTCCCTTGCAAACTCGGGTTTTAGAGAGGGTGCCTGGCTGCTGGGCCAGCGACGTGGCGAGCGGGACGGAGCGGCAGGTCCTGGCTCCTCTGCGCGCGTTGTGCGGCCCCTGTGCAGGACATGCATCCCGCAGATCCACGTGCTGTGTCTTTCCCATTCCCTAAGCGATGCTGGCGTCGCTGCAGCCCCCGGGGCACCTCGGTGCTCTGCCCCGCTCGCTCGGCTCCGTCTCTGCCCCTTCCTGCCCCTCCGCGGGGCTGTTCCCCGTAGCCCGGCACGGCGCTGGGTGCGTTTTGCACCGCGGGCACCTCAGCCTTGTGGAAGGCACTGGCGGGGTGGAAGGAGACCTCCAGCCCCCAGGATCCAGCAGCTCATAGCTCGGATCCGGCCGCCCGGAGCTCAGTGACTGGTGTGGGTGACAACACGTGCGTATTGGCACTGCGCAGTGACTGAGGCTGGTCCCAGCGCCCGCTGCCCTTCCCCGTTCCGTGTAAAAGTGTGGGAAGGGAAGCCAGGCTGGGTACCGGTAAAGCCCGGGCTCTGTGAGGCTTTCCCAGAGCCGGGCTTGCGGAGCTGCCTTTGGGGCTTGGTGCCCTGAGCTGCTCACGTAAATACTGTACTACACAGAAACATGGAACATGAACCTCTCAGTCTGTGGTACATTGAAAGAGAAGAGAAAAAATTGAAATGGCTTTTTTTTTTAATAAAATGTCTTTATTATTATTTTTTAAATCAATGTCAAAATCTCTCCTTCGGGATTGAGTAAAATGCCACTTTTTCATCATAAGCACAGCCCTGACTGCTCCAGTGCTCATGAGACACCCTCAAAACACGTGGGTGTCTCAAATGTTAAGGTGCTTGGAGGTCGGAAGCGTGTGAGAGGAGAGCGTGGTGTTTGAGGGGCGAGTGAGGCGGCCCTTCCGTAAGGCCCGGTCGCTGCGAAGGGAAAAGCTCCGGGCTCCGAGGAGCCGCCGGCGCTGGGAGAGGCGCCGCGTGGAAACGTGGCCGCTGGAGCAGCCTTTGAAGCAGAATTCCAGGCGCTGCTTCCTTCTCCTCTTGCGTTCCTGACTGTGCTGGAAGGGCCGCTGGGGGTGGAGGGAGTCCTCGCGACTATCCGTGGTTTTGTTGTGCTCGCAGAGCACGAGTTTTAACCAAATCTGCGTGTTTTGCTCTGTGTTGACCCCACGTGTTGTCTTCACGTTACTAACTCACATCTGGCCGCTTCGCGAGTTGGTGTTTTCTGATCCCGTTGCATCCAGCCTCCTGTTTCCTCGGAGCCGCGGGCCGGAGCAGCGCCAAAAGGGCAGTCCCTCCTCCCCATCCTTCCTCCCACGTGGATTTGTCCACGTGCTCCGTACGCACATGCCCAGGACTGTCTGCTCCGCTCCGCTGTGTGCACCCCGCGGGTTGTGTCCTTGTCCACTGCTTCCCTGTGTGTTTGGACACTCGGCCCTCGTATTTCAGCGCCTTTCCCCCTCGCCGTGCGGGGATGCTCGTGTGCTGGAGCCGGCTGGGGAAAGGGCTGTAGCGCCCTCAGTTTGGGCAGCTTCCCAGGAGCACCTTGGAGGATTCCTCCTCTGAGAGCAGCTCATGACACCCTTGGCTGTAGCTGAAGCTCCCTGAAAAGCGAATCCTGTGCCCTGTCACCCTGGGCTCGCGGGGGGAGCCGGCGCTGAGAGCAGCGAGACGGTGCAAGCCCCGTGGCCTCTGTGTGTGTCTGTGTGCGTGTTGTGCTCCCTGCCCCTGGGGCAGAGCGGTGGTGATTTAAAAACAATCCGCCCCTGAGCATCCCGCAGCGAGCGACCCTCGGATCCGGGGCTGGGCGCAGGGGGAGCCCGTGCGGGCGCTCGCAGCTTCCCCTGCGCCCGGGGAGCTCCGTTGAACCAGCTCTGGGGCACCTCGTGGTGAGGGCACCCTTGGGACACCCCTAGCCACAAGTGGCGTGATGGGAAGCGTGAGGGTCCCGAGGTGGATGCAACAACCACATAAAAATAGTGAGCTGGCGGCCTCTGTTTTAACCGTTTTGATGCTGATGGGCTGCGTTTCTAAATGCTGGGCGCTAATGTGTCAGGAGGCCCCCGCCGCTGGCGGCAAGTGCTTACTGGTAACTGCAGAATTCTCAACATAGTTTGATTTCTTCTGTTTTCTTTAAATGCCTCTAGCCCTGACTTGACAAAATGCCCAGAGGGATCAGGAGTGGTGCAGAGCGCAGCTGCTAATCCTCCGGTAGAGCCCAGTGTGGCAAAGCCAGAGCCCGGGTCCAGCCGTGACGCCCAAGGCGCGAGGTCGGCGCTGCCCGCGGCGCCACGGGGCAGCGCGGGAGCGGCCGGAGAAGCCGCTGCTGCCCCGACGGAGCCAGCCGCTCCCCAGCTCCGGGAAGACGAGGCGCAGGAGACGCAGCCGCCGACTGCGGGCGCTCGGCAGGAAGGGACGCTTGGAAACAACGCTGGAGCGGAGTCATCGGAAGGCGCCGGCGTTCCCGGAGCCGCCGGGGAGATGGGAGCCGAGGCGCCGGGCTGGTTGGGCGCTGCAGCGGAGCCGGGCGCCGCCGGGGGGGCTCCCGCGGAGGCTGTGCCCCCCGGCCCCGCGGCCGCCCCTCCGCACAGGGTCCCGCCGGGGGACGCTCCGCGAGGAAATCCCGTTCCCGGCGCCGTGAGAACCGCGACGGAGGTGCCCGCGGCGCAGAGCGGGGCCGCCATGGACAAGAAACTTGGGCCTCCAGCTGAAACCGCCGCGGAGAGGGAGCGGGATGTAGCTGGGGCCCAGCTGGAGAGGGAAATGGAAGAATCTGCGCTCAGAGGTGGAGCAGCCGCGGAGCAGAAACCTGCAAAGGCCTCAACCGAGAGCGGGACAGAGGCGGAGAGGAAGCTTGAAAGATCCGTGGCCAAGGCGGGGGCAGGTTTTGAAAATGCTGAAAAAAACGTGAATGAAAGCAACGAGGGAAGTTTAGTCAAAGCACATCAAAATAAAGGACCAGAGCCAGCCAAAGCCGATGACACCCACAAAGCAGTTCCGTTAAGCTCAGCTTTATCTGCCAAGGAATCTCCCGCTGTTAATAAAACCTTTCTCAAGGCAGTGGTGTCTCTTCCTGATATATCCAAGGCAAGGGGCCCGGTGCGGAGCAACGAGCCTGCCCTGGACAAAGCAGAGGGGCAAAAGGCTTCCCCCAAACCCGAGAGCCGAGGCCAAGCGGCTGCCGAGAAGAAAGCGGCCCCCGAAGAGGTGTGTGCCCCGCGACCCGCTGGCACCAGACCAGCTCTGCCGGACGGCGCATCCCGAGCGAGCAGAAGTGCTCCTGGCGATGAGAAGGGAGGCAATGGGAGGAGCTCGTCCCAGCAAGAGAAGGTCTTGAGAGCGGAATCTAGGGCTAGCTCAAAACAGTGCCAAGACAGAGAGAGTAGAGCATCCAGCGCCAAGAGAGACAGCAGCAGCAACCAGGTGAGGAGGGCAGGACGGCCGCTTCGTGCGGCCAGTCACTGACTAACTCGGTGCTTCTCTCCCGTTTCGAGCGTGGGACAATCAGGTTGAGTTCCCATCCCGTTGCCGTAAGCCGCTGCAGGCCGGCAGCCACATTGTGCTAGCAAGAGAGCAGGCAGCCTGGAGGTGCATTGTGTGCAGCTCGAGCGCGGAACTGCCCCGAAAACGCGCTCGGACATTGGCAGGACGGTGCTTCCGAAGGGGGTCTGTGCCCTTCGTGGCTTGGTCGTGAACGGCAGGTGAGAAGCTCGCTGTCCTGGGAGCTGCCCTGGCCTCGACATGGGCTGCCGAAAGGAGACGAGGCGCCGAGCGGGCTCTGGCCCCTGACTTGGTGCCAGAGCCCTGTGCCCGGAGCTCCCCGCTGGTGACTCTGTGCTGTGCTTGCCCCGCGTGGCATCAGAAGCAGCAGTCTGGACAAGCTAGTAAAGTTCACTGAGGGGAGACGCTGCCTTTAGTTGGTCTAACTAGTCTCATGCCAACTTTTCTCTAATTTTGCAGATTTCTGTTGGTGAGAGTGCTAGAACTTCAAAAAGCAGCAGCAGCAGCAGTGCAAAGCAAAAAGAGGTGAGTGCCCAACTGTAATGGAGCTTGGAATACAGATTGTCCTTGAGACTGTTCTTGTGTGGGGCAAGGAGCTCTAGCATTCTTCCCAAGGAATTCTAATACTGATTGTTAGAGAATACTGGCAAAAAAAGCTGCAAAGTCAAGTAATAGGGAAGGGAAACTCCCTTCAGGAACAACAGTGTTAAAAGGTGGTTTGGGGACCTGGTGGTTGTTCGGTTAAGGAAGCAGACAACTGATTTACTGGGTTCCCAGGTGCTAACTGATCTTCATTCCTCATTGCATGTTGGACAAAAGGAAAGTTGTTTAGCTCCTTATAACCAATTTTGTTTAACAGAAGGGAGCTGGACCCTCTCCATCCTCAGTGCCCCTTCCACACAGTGTGATTCCCAGGGGACTGGTCTGCAAAACAAAGATCACTGTCCGTTTTTGTTGCACTATTAGTTGAATAAAGGCTTGGGAGCCTGCAGTTTCAGGCTCTGAAGAGCCTGATTTCTGAAAGGAAGATCAGAGGAGGAGCCCCACGTTTGTGACCTCGCTCTGTGGTGCCTTGGGTTTGGGGAAGGAAAAGCAGAAAGATGGTAGTGGAAATCATATCCTACCGTTCCAAGTGTAATAGCTGAGCCATTTTGCAGTGAACAAATGTTAGGAGCTGTTCCCAACCCCCTGCTTTCCAGTGGGGCTGTATGTTATTTCCATAGGAAACCCAGGCTTGGGATTCCTGAGCAATGAAGAAAGGGTGAGAGGAATCTGTGCCTGTGTGGCTATGTGGCTCATGGGAGAAGGGGGTGAACAGCGAGGGGATTTATTTAGAGCAGAAGAACTGCAGGAAGGTCTGGGGATGGGAAGAAACTGAGTGAGGAGGGCTAAAGGCAGGGCAAGTGTGGAGTGAGTCACACAGAAGCCATCCCAAATGCTGTGGATTCGGAATGACTCAAGAGATGGGGATTCCTGAGCCTGGGAAAGAAGAGGCTGGGCAGGAAGAGGGTCCTAGGGAGGGAAGGAGGAGAAAAGGCTGAAGATTTGTAGCCGTTGGAAATGAATTTCCAGGAAGTAAAGGACAAATGGGTGAAAGAAAAGTAAATAGAGGGCTTGTGAAGACAGAGAAGTTAACTGTGGCCAGAAAATGACTTAGCTGCTGGTGAGCAGGCGCTTGGGTGAGAGGGCCTGTGGTGGGTCTAGCTGTGCAGTGCAGGATCCTCTCTTGTAAGAGGGGCCAGCACATGTGCTTAGGGAAGAGCTCTGAGAAGGCACTAATGTTTTCCAAAGTACTCTGCAGGTGTTGGGGTTTTTCACTGATCTTCCTGTGAGTGTATGTGAAAATACACACAAGTGTTCAGGTGGTTGGCCCAGCTTTTAATCAAAGCGTAGTTTTCTGGTCCCCGGACCCAATGCTGTGGATTTTGGAATTTGTTTTTTCTGGATGTTTCCCCTCAGCCAGCTGCAGCTGGTAGATGTTCCTCCTCAGGCACCCTGGGCTGGGGGGCGCTGGGGTCGGTGGGTGGACTTTGACAAGTTCCCGCTTTTGCGTTTCATAGGAAGAAGAGCTTTTCCCCTTCAATCTGGATGAGTTTGTTACCGTGGACGAAGTAATAGAGGAAATCGAGTCTCCCGTGAGAACCCGGAGAAACCCCCCGAGGGGCAAGAGAAGAGAAGCCCCTAAGAACACCTCCTCGGAGCCTAGCTGTAAGCGAAGGAAAGGCAAGAGCTCGGCGGCGCGCGCGGCCGAGAGCGAGCTCTCCTTTGTCACCCTGGACGAGATTGGAGAAGAGGAGGACGTGGCCACGCAGCTCCTGGGAGCCGCTCCTCCGGACGCGCTCGCTGACCCCCAGGGCCTGGTGGTCGTGGACGAGGTGACTGAGGAGGAGGAAGCCGCCGCGAGGGATCCGCGGTCGCTCCTCACGCTGGATGAGATAGCGGAGCGGGAGGACCTTGCCTGTCACACGGGTGCCCCGGGGCCGGCTTTTGAGGAGGCAGATTTGAAAGCAGAGCCCCTAGTAACCGTCGATGAAATAGGGGAGGTGGAAGAGCTGCCTTTAAACGAGCCTGCGGATCTGAACGTCGACGACGCGGCCAGGCAGAAGGAGGACGATAAAGACTGCGGAGATTTTGTTTCCTCTCAGGTGCCCGACGACCCCGGTGCTTTAGTGACGGTAGATGAAATACAGGAGGACAACGAAGATGCCCCTCTAGTGACGCTGGATGAAGTCAACGAAGACGAAGATGATTTTCTGGCTGATTTCAATTGCCTGAAAGAGGAGCTGAACTTTGTTACAGTGGATGAAGTTGGAGAGGAGGATGACGAGGAAGATTCTCTCACGGAGGAGAATCTAAATGAGGATGAAGATGAAGATATTGTTGCTGTTGCAGGCCCAGAAGAGGAGGATATTGCAGCCATTGCGGGAACAGAAGAGGAAGATATTGTTGCTGTTGCGGGACCAGAAGAAATGGAAATTCTCGGGGATATGAGTCCAGAGGAAGAAATGACTGCAATCTCCAAGTCAAAAGGAAAGGAATCCCCAGCAGCTTCCAGGGGGGAAGCAGAAAATAAGCTCCCTGCAGCAGGCGGACAGGAGAGGGGCACAGAGATCCCTGCAGCACATAAAGGGGAAATGGAAAAACGTGACATTTTTCACAAAGCTCCTGAGAGGGAGGCTGCAAAAGAGACTGCCAGCAAACAGCAGCGGGAAGGTAGGGTCCGTGGTGTTAGTGCGTGCTAGAATGCGTCTGTCTTTGTGTAAAACATAAGCAATGCTGTTTAGATGCTTTTTCCTGTGTTTATGTTGGCCGTAGCTGGAGAACGCTTTATTAAAAACAAACTTGTCAAATAGGAGACACAGAGATGCAAAGAGGCCTCCAGGCTGGATCTGGAGAAAAACTTCCTGCAGGATGGATCTGAGCAGGGGTTAGGAGGGTCTGACACCGACCCGGGCAGGGAGGCTGCGTCAGGAGCTGCACTGGGATAGGCTCAGCCAGGAGCTGGCCCCGGGGTCCGCGGGACACCCAAAGCTGGAGCCCCTTCTCCTGGGGCCTCTGCTGAGGCCGAGCCGCATCCCTGCCCCGGTGCTCTGGAAGGTTTCCTCCCGTATCACCCCCATGGAGCAGCGAGGAGGAGTGTGGAGCAGTGCGAGGAAGAGGAGCAGAGGGAGCCACCGGAGTCTGCCAGGATCTAAACTTCACTTTCTATAAAGCAGCCTCTCCAGTTTGTCAAATGCTTTGATTTCTAATTTACATAGATATGTTTTGTACACGGTAAGTGAATGAACCTAGTTCTTCTGTGCAGTAACGATCTCAAGCAAAAGAGAGAGATCTAAGTAAAACTAATTCTTCCTGAATTGGAGAAGCCGTGTGAGAAAAGCGGGACGAGAAATTAAAGCAGGTAAAGACCTGTTAGGGGACAAGATCTGATTCAAAGAGCGAAATGGGAGGTGGGTCGTTAGCCCCAGGCTAAGTTCAAGGCTGCCAGGCCAAGGCTGGGTGTCACCTGAGGCCGTCCCTGGCCTGATGCAGTGGGAGGGCAGAGCCCAGTACTGCCTATTTTGTCCCTTTAACAACTGCCTCTCATCAATAGAGCAAAAGGATTTACTTTATCAACGTTGTTAGGAGATAATTGCTATCAAGGTTATTTAAACACAGGATTAGAAAGAAAACAGATTTTTGTGTGTGTTTGTCTCTCCTGCATCCGCCGAGCTGTTCTGATAGTCTAACACCCAAGCCGCCCTTTCCCTCGCCAAAACCACCCTTCCCATCTTACAGCAAAGGGCACTGTCCAGTTCCTTGTCCACACGAAGCCCCGAAGCGGCAGGTTGGAGCACCCCGAGCTGGGTGCTCCCGCCGCGTGCTCACCCTCGGTGCAGTTTCACGCTGTGATTCTAGTGCTGCAGGGAAGCTCCGCTCGCCTCTTTGAGGGCCTGGGCTGGCTTGGCCGGTGCTTTTTCCCACTTCTAAACTTGTTTTTGGTCTTCTCCGAAGTCATCAGTGTGCAATTATCTTAACGGGGAGGTGGAATTTGATAATGAAAGCCTCTATCATACACACACCTATCATACAAACCCTGTGTTTGCTGGCACGTCGTAGCAGAAAGAAGATGCACATTTGAGCTGTGAGGTTATTTCACTGGAGGAACAACCTGCTGGACGCTGCAGTGCCAGAGCTGGGGTTTCTACAAGCAAGGCTTTGTTTTATGTCAGGCTTAAGCTGAAATGCTGCTCTCGGGGCTGGATTAAGTCGAGAAAACTTAAGCTCACTTTATGAAGAAGTGGGGATGTTTTTGATGCTAATCCCAACGTTGATGTGAAGTTGTTGAGCAGCTGTGAACGGCACCAGGAGCAGCCCCAGCACCCGGGTGTCCAGTGCAGCCTTGGACTGCTCCGTGGAGGATACACGTCCTGGAAAATCCCTGTATGGAAGCAAGCCTGCAGCGGGCAGTGGGGATCACACAGATGGGGTTTGTTCTTAGTGCTGATTAACCAGCCACGCTGTGCACTGAGGCACTCGGAGCAAGCAGAGATCTGGGTTTTAACCTGTGTTTACGGCTTGCAGGAGATCCGCTTGGATCGGGAGAAAGGGACCCGGAGCCCACGCGGAGGAGAACGGACGCTGCGGATGCCTCGAGGACGCGGAGCGCTCCGAAAGGTGACACAGAAACGCTCCCGCCAGCGCTCTGGGCTGCTCTTCTTAAAGACCGTTGTCTTCCCATTGAAAATTGCCTCATACGATCACATGCAATTAAAAAAAACACAGTGTGCAATCCAGATTTTTATCTTCACAAATCTGCGTCTAGCATACATTCCTGTTGCTGGTTTAATAGCGGCAAAGCTAAAAACTCATTTTTCCTGCAATATAATTAAAAATAGGCTATTACATAATTGGCACAATAGAGTGGAATATCTCCTTATTATCCTAAAGACAGTATAAGCTTTGGTGCCAGCTTTGTCCCAATAAATGGAAGTCAGGAAGCTGCTTATTTCATGTTAAGAGTATATGTCGCAGCCCCCTTGCGCGGGTGCTTGGTGTGAAGGTGCTCGTGGTGCTCGAGCGGTGGGAGAGGTGCCTGGAAACACAGAGCCTGCCCTGGGGTCCCTGCAGGGCCCCCGAGACCGCGGCTGCTCCCGGGTCCCGCTCTGCTTCGTCAGAGATTAAACCTGTGCAAAATGCCTTAAGGCGAAGGGACCTTGCAGTGGATTTCAGATCCAAAATCTCACTTGTTCTGTCTGAAGAAAAGGGTGGCCCCTTTGTTGACTGGAGGTCGGGCAGTCACCAGTTGGGATTACAAACCCTGATTTCCAGAGTACTGAAATTAACCCGGATTAACCAAGTATCCGCGTTTGGCTGATTGGATCTGGTGGGTGAGAGTGTTTAATTGCGTTTTGCTAATGAGCTGTCGCATGCTCTCTTTTTCAGATTTGGATTTCCTGGTTCCAAAGCCTGGCTTTTTCTGTCAGATCTGTTCTCTGTTCTACGCAGATGAACTGTCTGTGAAAAACCACTGCAAGACACGGCTTCATCAGCAGAACATGGAGGTAACGCTGGGGCAGGGGGCAGCGAGTTGCTTTTCACGGAATCACGGAATGGTTAAGGTTGGAAGGGACCTCTAGAGATCATCTCTAGTCATCTCTAGTCTAGAGATTATCTCGTTTTGCATGTGGTTTGCAAAAAGCCTTTGCTTTATTGGCTGTCAATAACTTCCTTCCAGCTTGTGGTGCTGATTTTAATAGTCAGGGGCCAGAGCCTTAAGTTGAGGCACATTTTTGAGGCCCTAAATTAGCCTAATTCACCATCTACGCAAAGCCTTCCTTGCCTAGGAGGGCATGGGCGTGCTCTCCTCCATTTTTCATGAATTTTGAGTGATTTTATAAAAATCCAGGGATGTGGCGGCCGGATTCCCTCAAATGTCATGGTTTGCTGAAGCTACCAACACATGGGGACGTGTCACAGAGGCCACTAAGCGCCGTGTCGGGCTGCACGAAGCCTCGAGCTGGCCGAAAGCCCCGGGCCCCGTGTGGAATCGGCCCCTGTTGAGTGAGGCTGTAATGGACCCCGCAGCATTTGACAGGCCGCTCGTATCTGCAAGTATCTTCACATGAACTTCCCAATAAGCCTTCTTTAAAATGCTTGTTTCTACAGAAATTCATGGCCAAGCAAAAGGAAGGGGATAACAGCAGCGAAGAGCGAAGCTTAAGGTGATCGGAGGAGAGAAGCGTTCTTTCAGTAATTTAAACTTCGGGTCCAGTCCATTTTGTGTATTTTGTTATGATTTTATTTGTAATTTTGTTCCAGAGGCGAGCGCTCACGTTGCACAAAGCCGAGCTCAGCGTAGGCAGGCTGCAGACAGAGCGCTGGGTGGCTCTGGTTTGTGTATCCGCCTGGCACACGCGGGCGGGGGGCTCTGCTACCAGCGTTGCCATGAAATAAACGTTCTTACTGTATAGCGAGCAGCAGCTGGCCGTGCTGGTGTGGTGCCTTGGGGCTGGGTAGGGGGCATTTCGCAGAGTCCCGGGATGGTTGAGGTTGGCAGGGACCCCCAGGGATCCCCCAGGGATCCCCCAGCGCAGCCCCTGCTCCACAGGGACACCCAGGGCACGGGACACCCGCTCCATCCCGGCGCGGTGGCAGATCTGCAGAGCAGGATCTGCAGCCTGGCCAGGGCTGGGCACCCTCCTCACAGTCACCTTGTTCTTCCCCACGGGCACATGGAGCTGCCCGGGGTCCAACCTGCACCCACTGGCCCTGGTCCTGGCACCGGCCACCCCGGAGCAGAGCTCGGCCCTTCCTCCCTCCGTCCTCCCCTCGGSTGCGCGGGCACACTGACCAGGGCCCTCTCGGCCTCCTCCTCTCCAGCCTCACTCGGGCTCCGCTCACCCGAGCTGCTCCAGGCCCTTCCCCAGGCCCCCCTTGGCCCCTCGCCATGCTGTGGTTCTCTCCAGCAGCTCCCCAGCGCTGCTCCCTGCTGCTCCCGAGCCCGTCACGGTGAAGCAGGAGCGCGGAACGGAGCAGAGCGGGACCCGCGGGGCGGCCGCTCCGCAGTGTCCATAGGACCTATCCCGCACAAACAGGTTTGCTGGGGCTTGTTGACTCTTCTTCCCCCACCATAAACGAGTTTGTGCCAGTCTCTAGGTCAAAGCACCTGATTACTCTTACTCTGTAATTACTATTTAAGCGCTTAATTTGTACTGTGCTAATAGCACCTGGTTTATAAAAAGATAAATAAATAAACACAGCCACCTGTGTCTGAAATGCAAGCTGTGGAGCACAGAGCGGGATTCCGTCAGGAAGGAAGCCTGGGTGAAGGGAGCTGTGGGCAGAAACACCCGTACAGCTCCGGCCCCATGGCACAGCTGCCCCCTTGGCTCCTGCTCCAGGCAAATCCGAGCAAGCGGAGCGGGCCCAAGTCGGAGCCTCGCCGTGGGGCTGGTGTCTGCCGCTCCCCACGGCTTTCCCGGAGTGTTGGGAAGCCCGGGATGGGTGGCCCCCCAGGGCAGAGCCGTAGCCCCATCCTGGCATCCTGCCGGGGCCACCGCCGCGCTGGGAAAGCTGAGCTCCAGCCTCCACGGGATGCCCATCCCTTTGGATGGGGCTTGGTGAGGGAATCCGGGGCTGCTCCATGCCCATTCCCACCTTCTGGCCTCCCTCTTGCGGAAAGCCCTTTCCTGCAGGGAAACCTCTCCGTTTAGACCCCTGAGGGCTGCAGTGGCCCCAGGGACACACGTGGCAGCCGCCTAACCCAGAAACCTTCAGCCAAGGCCCGTTCTGCCGTGGGGGAGCAAACCTGGGGACAGCGGTGGCACCGGGTGGCGGTGCCGGACGAGCAATCCCCATTTTGGGACGAGCAATCCCCATTTTGGGACGAGCGATCCCCCTTTTGGGACGGGCGATCCCGCGATGCCCGCGGCCCCGGCAGCGCTGCAGGGGAGACGCGAGGGGCAGGAGGACGAGGGACGGAGCCCCGGGGGAGGCTGGTGCCGTCCCAGCTCTGTGCCCCCGGCCCTAGGTCGCTCCCTGGTGAATCCCGCGGCTCCGGAACACCGGGATGGCCGGTTCTGCTCTCTGGGAAGGGGGGCCGCGGCCTGGCTGGATCCGGAGGGGTGGGTTGTGCCCAGGGGCAGCGCCGGGACCGCCGGGGCCCGTGTCCCCCTTGGAGCGGGTTGGGCGCACGGGGACGTGCGGCCTCCGGGACAGGCTGGGACGGAGGATCCACTGATCCTGCTGCTGGGAAAGCCGGCCTAAGAATAACCCACCTTTAAATAGCCGGGGCGCTGGGCACGGAGCCCCCCCGTCCCTGGGGCCGGGGCCGCCACGAGGGGCTGCCGGGAGCGGGGGGGACAGGGACGGATCCCAACGGACCCGCCAGGACGGCGGCCTCGTGGCCCCCGGCGCTGGGGACACCTCGGCCGGGCCGGGGAGCGGAGCCGGGCGCCCGTCCCGTCCTGCTGCCGGGCGCTCCGCAGTGGAGCCGGGCGCAACCCGGCGTGGGCATTCCCGGGCACTTGCTCACTCCCTGGGAGCTTCTAGCACATGCGGGAAGGCGCTGGGTTGTTTGTGCCGTGTCATCCTGTCCAACACCCTGCCTCCCCGTTCCCTCTGTCCCCCGCATCCCCACGTCCCTGTCCCGCATCCCCATTCCCTCCTGTCCCCCCACATCCCTGTTTCCCCCTCTCCCGCCTCCCCGTCCCCCCCCATGAGGCAGGATGCCCGGGGGCCCTGGGGGCTGCTCCCAGCTCCGGGATGGATGTGGGGCGCTGCGGGGACCCCTCCGCGTGCCCGTGCCGGGCACCCCGGGCACCCCGTCC